TTCATGACATTTCCAATATCGGGATTAGAGAAGGAAACTGCATTGGAGTTTGGACAGAATGATTTTTCTGTTGCCAGTCCTCCTGGCGTGATGCTGAATCATTGCTGAGGCAAGGGTTTGGTGGAAGAGCTGGAAGCCCTGTACGCAAAAGTCCGACTACAGGAGCTGCATCCCGCAGGGCCTGGTGGTTTGTCCGGTCAACGCGTTGGGAGGACCGTCTGAAAGACCAGCAACTGCTTCTAGGTTGAGTGGTTTGTAATTCAAGGGTCAGTTTATGTTATATAGTGTTTTGATGTGTTTGTCAGTGTTTGTCTCAACTCCCATCTTCGTGATCTGCGTTCTTAAGAATAGTTGGATCAAAGGAGTCTGGTTTTCATTGAAGAACAGACACTGCCCCGTGGAACTTGGTGTCTAAAGTTTTGAGGATCTTTTAATTCTAAACAGTATTTGTTTCAGTATATGTTTAAACCTGAACAGGTACGTACAATTCTCAGCACCCAGAATCAAGCAGAGGCATCCAGACATCTTGTATAATCCGGTGGAGCAGTTGCTTCCGTAGAGGGACTTCAGACGTACCCGATCCGCGCACTTAGCACTGCGTGATTCGATGCGATTCGCTCCACACCCGACTCAGCAGCACCAGGAGCCCCTAGTAGCTTCTTGCTACAAGTAGCTTCTTGTTCCTAGTAGTAAGGCCAGGAGCCCCTAGTAGCGTCCTTGCTCCTAGTAGCGATGCCAGGAGCCCCTAGTAGCTTTTTGCTACTACCTTTGTGATGGGAATGCCCTGCGACTGGGTTTGTCAGGACAAAGAGATCAAACACAAGCAGAAACTGATCGAAGAGGAGCAAGCGAAGGCCAGGAGCAAGACATTCCCTTTTTCGTTGTCGGAAGGTGAAAAGCAGTGTTTTCTTCAGTCGCAGCATGCTGCTACATCAAAACGAGATTGAGGAGTGGGCATTCCCCAGAATCATGTTTCGTTTGGAGCTCTGTAGCTATGATTGGCCGTTTGTTGCAGCTGGAGCTCAAGCAACAAGCCACTTCAAGTTTGGAAACTCGCCTTGAAGAGGGAACATACATCATCATACATCATCATACACCCAAAACATCCCAAAACCACCGGTTTGCAGATAAACCTTCATCTTTTAGCTCACGTGACAATGGGCATCCCACTCGGCCGATGTGTTTGGGAGGGGCTTGAAATGAGATGGGGCCCCTCGAACGCCACCCGCCGAACGGCCATCCACCGCTGGACCGTCCCACGTACGGTGCCGCGTCGCTCCGGCCGGGTGGGCCTCGCTCCCCGGTGTTCGGTCGGCAGGTGGAAGAGCTCCTCGAGGCGGTGGCCTTGCGGGATCGCAAGTGGGACTCCTTGGCGCAGGCGCGTGCCGGACACGATATGAAGAGCTTTAGGGAACACCTGATAAAATACAGTCATCCATTGGCCAGTGTAAAGGCAAACTGGTCTATGAGGGACCTGGAATGGGGTGTGTGGGTGTGACCCGGGTCGTTTAGGATTCCAAAAGGTGGGGTGAGTAGTTGTTTCTCACAGTTCTTCAAGAATTTGCAGTGGGTGACAATTCTGATGATCTGATGATGAATCAATGCATTTATTAGATCTTATGTTGAATTATGATGACATTGTTTGTGAGATTGGCTTGAAACTAGACTCAAGACAAACCTCTTTGAATCCCGCTTTGCAGAGCCCCTCCCTATTCCACAGCCCAAGACTTGCAAGATCCGAGCACGAAGCAAGATGCTTTTCAAGAACCAGCAATTTGGTTTCGGAGTGTTATATATTATATGAGCAACCACTTTTATTTGGTCTTGACCAAAGTAGTCTACGGCATGCTCTATTTGTTTACAACGAGATAATATTAAACAGCCCCACATAAACGCTATATTGTTGATATTGTTGTATTTGTTGATGACACTATCTAAAGTAGTCTGACGAGAAACCGTGACATGACCTCCTACTAAAATAGTCTAAACGAGATAGGCCCCCCACAAAATATATAGTGTACTGTATTTGAGTTTAGTAACATATAAATGCCTTTGTACATATATATAATAAATGTAATATAATATAGTAATATATATATATTATATTATATATTGTACATGTTTATAATATAGTTTTCAAAGATTCTTCGCGGTGGTGCGCAGTGGACACCAGGACTATGGCATCAAGCTCCAAAAGCTGAGAGAAGAGGAGCACCCGAGTCGTTCGAACGGCGGGACCCGACTAAACCCCGCCCGCACAGCCCGAGCGGACCCCCGTGCGCAAGTGGTCTGAGCTTGTTTGTAAACCTGCCAGGTGGTACAGCGCGGAAGCCTGTGCTCATGGTTACAGTGGCTTGGAAGAAGTTATACTCGAATTCTTCGTGATTGGCTTGCATAATGCAATAACCGTTAAGTGGATTTGATAATAGAATAGGTTTTTCAATTATAGTAGGATAGAATCATAGAACTTGGTGGCCAGGTGTGCCTTTGATGAAGCCCGTTTCAAGTGGAAAGCAGCGGAAGAGCAGAGGCCTCAGATCTGCTGGACTTAGTGCTGAAACAAGGATGGTGAAGTCTGTTTACCAACATTTCATGACCTCAAATATTCTCAAGCCAAAAGGTTTACTGTATATAATGATCAGGTAATCAGGTATGTTACATACCTGATTACCTCATCATTATTTGTACCTTCACGCGTGTCTCCTGTTGCGGAGCTATTGTCACGCATGGGGATCAAAAGGAAGCAACACTCATCCTGAAAGCTTGTTTGGATGTTACATTGTTCCTCAAAGGCTTGTCCACGACAAACAAGAAATCAGAGAACCGAAGCAGCTTTGTGCTAAACGCCCTTCGTTTCAGTCTTCGTTATTCTTTTCCGTGACTTTTTGGACACCGGGTTGAGGATGGTGAACTGAGGAAAGAAAAGCTCAAGATCGAACACCACCAGCGCATGCGCCAGGCACAATTCGTGTAGGCCGAAACGGCTGCCCCAGATCTGAAGACTGAAGTTTACTAGAGACAGTCATCGCCATCACGAATTTGATCCTACACCAAGCCCTCGCCAGCTTTGTGTAAGTCCATTTCTCCTGGGCCATGCTACCTACTGTGTTAAGTCGCCTGGTCTTGTGTAATGTCGTTTGGATGCTTGGTTTCCATGCAGGCTAGATGAAACATGCAAGATAAGCTTTGGAGTATCACTTCAACGATTCAACACCATAATATGTTGATAAGAGTGTTGAACAGATACCATTTTGCTGGATTGCATCAAGATCAATATGTGTATATATATAGGTCTATTTGGAGAATCAAGAACAGAACCTGGAATTCTTCAACATGCTGTGGCAGTTGTGACACAGGTGGTGGGTACCTGGGACTCGGACACTTGCGCCAGTGTATATAGCCATGTTCAACCTCAAAAACTTGTTTGTAGAGATGAGGCATTTCCATGTGGCCGGGGTACTTTCCGCAAGTCCAGGTGACGTAACACATGTGCTAGTATCCGCGCTGGCTTGATCAGACTTTGTGCTACGCACCCTGAGTGCTGTGATGCCGCGGCCAGGCAAGAGCACAGGCACGGATAGAGGTCATCCAGCGGGAAAGACAAAAGCGGTTGATCCAGGCTCGCACCTTTGGGCACTTGGGTCGATCGGTTGAAAGTCATCTTTGGGAACCTGTGGGACACTCCTTTCCATGCGCTCGATGTGAGGCCTGCATGCTCTCCTTGCAAGAGGAGACAGTCGAAGGTGAGGTGCTGTTTGAGATTGTTTGAGCTTGAATTTGCAAAATGGCAAGGGCTGAGGTTTTTGTGGGATAAAGATCATTTTGTTCAGCAACAGTTCCGGTACACAAGGTAGTTTGGAGCCGTGTTTAGTTCCTGGTCAATTCGTCGACATGCAAGCTGTGAACACATGTGTAGAACCTGGATTGAAGGAGGAAGGAGTCGTAGGAGGGGGAAGGTGGAAGTGGCCAATCCCAACATTGATTGAAGGTATCCCTTTACATTGTGCAGTCCAGATGATGCAACCTGCAGGCCGCCAAGCTAGACACTTAGAAGAGCCCGGAGACCTACCTTTGCTTGCACCGATACAAAGCACGCATGGCTTCGCTCCCAGTTCTCTTGGGCGGAGAGTACTATAGAAATCGCATCCTTGTATGTGTGGGGTCCTGGAGGAATCACCACCCTCCCTGCCTTGTGGGCTGGAAATGGCCGCAGCAACAGCACAACATGCCCAACAGTAAATGCAATGGCCCAGGCTCCGGCGTAAGCACGAAGATGAAGTGTTGGTGTTTAACGCCCAGTTGGCTCAGGCATGGCATTAGCAACACGCGAATATGTCAGATGCAATTGACAGTCCAAACTCAGTGCTGAGTTGAGTGGCCGGTCAAGAACCTTTGCTAGAACAGAGACAAGCAGATATACTGTATACCCCCAGCATCCCCCAGCTGTCCTGCTGTTGTGTGCATGGTCACTGAATGTTGCCTGCAATTGCTTCATTTTCATCCGATGTTCGTCCTGGACTCCAATTCCGACGCTTCGCTGACCAGGCGATGGGGGATGAAGAAAAGGCCAAAGAGCTCGTGGCAGAGCAGACGCGGCGTACGCCCCCCCTGTGGAGTGACGCAACGGAGTGGAGGATGACGTCCCCCATGAAGTATGATGTTTTGACGTAAAGTATGGCGAAGCACAGTGAATGGTTAGAAAAGAACACCGCTAAAAAGCACTTACTTTTTTTGAACATGTCTGCATCATGGGCAGGTTCGTTCCTGAGATGCATGGTGGAATGACCTTCCATTTTGCTGACCTCCATTTGGATCTCAGCTGATACGTGGCCCCAAACCCAGCGATTCCAGGAAAGGAATTAAATCAATAATCAATATGAAACTCCTTGCATGGGTGAGCCAGAGACAATACGCACGCAAGCAGAAGACACAAACGGATGGACTGGAGTTCCAACATGTTCCAACCAGCTATTTTTTACCCACTGTGACTTCAGATCAGCCCTCCCTTGATCAGTATCTCCATCTTTCCAGCGCCGGGCCATGCGCTGAGTACGTTTGAAGGGAGCGGCCATGAGCCGCAAATCGCCGGGGTTCACCTTGCTTATAGTATATGCAGCCGCTTGGAGTCTGAGTTTGCTTTGCGCTTTGCCCAGGTAACAGCCTGCCTTGGACCCTTTTTTCAGTTGGCCACTGATCAGATGTTGCTTTTCCTGTTGTCAGTAGCTTTCTGGTGTATACGTGTATAGAGGTTGACCAGCTCTGCAGATGTTTGATTGGGAGACATAGCAGAAGCATTCAAACACCTTGAATGTCGCTGTGCCATTTTAGGGGAGTGAGCCTTTCGTGATAGCTGTGCGGCGTACTACTTTACTGGGTATAAGACATGTTTATTCATTTGGAGAAGTGGAAAAACCAAGAGGTTTTGACCATAGCTCATATTGGGAGGCTTCTGAAGCTTTCAGACCGTCTGCTCTGCTCGCTTTCTTGAGGTTTGGGTTTGCCTCGTTCGGCCAGAGGACACTTTTGCCATTGGTCCTGGCCAACTCAGGCTGGATCATCCGGAGCCGACCTTTCTTCCCGATCTCTCGTGAGTGAGTATCAGATTCTTTGATCTCGATGTGCTCGGCCATGTCTCAGCCTTCGGGAAGGGTGTGCATGTCTCTCAAGTGGTTTGTGTCCTTTCGACGGCTCTCCTTTGAATCATTTCGGTGAAGTTCCACGCATTGCCACGCGCCAGGCCATCAGCCTCATGTCGAAGCTTTTGAGCTCAATTCAGGGTGATCGTGAGGTGAGAGGGATGAAAGGGAGAGGACAGCTCTAAAATCGCCTGAAACTCGACAAAGATCTGATTTTGCTTAGGGTCTTAGGGTGATGTTTGTTTTCCCTAATGGGAACACCCGATTAATAAACACCCCCCTCAAGGTTGCAATTCCATTTCTATTTTGGGAGGTCAATCAGGAGAGGTCACCAAGACAAAATCTCTTCATGAGGAGAGGCCCAAAGACTAAGTTATTTTCATGACAATTGAGGCGCTTGGGACGCTTTTAGGGTGGTGAATTGATTACTGCAATGATTAGGCAATTCATATCAATTCATAAACTATTCAAGGCTGGGGCAGACCAAATTAATCGGGGAGTACATGAATAGAGGGATTATGTAGACTTTCTTTGGGAGCTTGAAAACTATTTTTTGGTGGTAGGGCTTTATAACATTGTATACCGGATTTTCTGGGAGTGGTTTTGAGATTCTGGGTGATTTGAGGTGAACTGTGGCCAGATCAATTTATGAGATGGGTCCAGGAAGCATTGAGATGCATTAGAGGTGTTGGAGAAGGAGAATCCAGTGAGAAGGATGAGGCTGAAGATATGGAAGAAGAGCCATTGGAACACACGCAGGGTTCCACAATGCAGGATGAGCATCAGACTGGGCAGTTTGTGTCAATGAGGAGTTCAGATTCATTGCAATCACCAACTACGAGCCCACTTGCTGCAAGGGCTCTATTCACTGCTCCATCAGGGGATGGGCCAAGATCAGCCGATCGGCGCCAGCCAAGAGGCAAACTGGCCAGGAAGCAAAAAACTGCATCAAAAATGGTGGACCAAAGTATATAATTGGAGGGGTTAAGCAAAGTTTTCAATTTTTGGGCGGAAAGTTTGCTTGAAAGGTGTTGATTATTGGAGGCCCCGAGGTGGACCAAACTGATAGGGGCGGTATGTTAACCCTACGTCTACATTGTGGGTAAACCACCAGCTGGGGAATAGTCAAACTTCTGGTAGCAATAAACCCAAGTGTCCAGTCAGCCGCCCCACTCAGACCCTCACGCAGTTGGAGCTGATGCGGCCTTGGCCTTTATGCTCAAAGGAAAATATTCGGTCCTCTGATGGTGATCCCCGATTTTAAGGGAATGGTCCTGGAGCCGATCCCACATTTCAATTCAAGAGATCATTGGAGGGTTTTGGTGATGGCCATGGAAAGCCTTTCTTTGCGTGATTGCTTTGTTCGGAGCGCGGGCCGTGCAACGATGCGCAGTGCTGAGGTATAGGGTCCAGGAAGCCTCTACCACGGGGTGTTTGTCAGGTAGCGCCATCTGCAATTGACACTTACTTGGATTCAGAGCCTTGGCTGATGCAGCTGCATGTAGGAGGCATTATATAAGTCAGAATGGTTTTGCCTTGCGCATGGAGTGTGCAGCGTGAGTGGATTAAGGGTGCATTGAAACGACTGTAGAACGTTCATAAATCGTTTCTTGAAACTTTAGAATATCCAGCTCGTTCCGTGTTTTTTGGTTACACTCAAATGAAGATGTGCGGGTAGTTCTTGTGTGCCCGTATCGTACCCAATCAGTGCGCAACCTTTACTGTAACCATCTTGAACCATGTTTTGGGTTTGGTTCCCCACTAAACAAGAACAGGTGAAACAGGTTATCACCTTTATTTTCCAGGGAAGCGGCTCGGGAATCAGAAATCCATACCTGCAGGCACCTCCCGTCATATTTGGCCCGCAGACTTGTTTTCCACCTGACCAGTCGTCCGTGTTGCCGTTTGCCACCTGAAGCCGGGACGTGCGGGACACGCAGGACACCGGCCAGGTGAGTACGGGGCAGCGTAAAAACTAAGACATGATCATGTTCAATTACACTGTAATATATTGTAATACAACTCCGCCAATATTCGCGAAGGCTTTTGTGTGATAGTGTGATATAGTGATACAGTACATTTTTTGTGCCGAAGGCTCTGGCCTCTTGGATATCACGTAGACGAAACCAATTCGTGAAGGCCAACTTGTAGAAAACAAAAAAGGTGGAAAGCACTTCGCGAAGCCCCTGGTTTTGTGCGAAGCCTTCTGAAGCCACCCTTTCCACAAATGTTTGTTCCGCGGAACCCCGAGCGTAGGTACCCCAGCAGTGTATATATGCACTTTACCGAAAAGAACACACGGCTCAGGTGGGTGTGGATAGCTTTGGTCTGGGGATTCTGGTTGGAGTCTTTGGGACGGTCTCCACCATTGCGGCAGTGCTGCCACCTGGCGGGTGAAGATGGGGGGTTTGATGGGAGGACAAGGGGGAAAGAAACTGGGCCGCGGCCGCTGCTTGGCGAATGGCGATTTAATCGAACTCTCCAGCAACAATGCATCAGCTTAGAACGATAATCTGAATGTTAACAGCACAATAACCAAGAATTGAACGGGAATGCCACGGGAAACTACTCCCCCACGCAGTTATTGGCCGGAAGACTTGTCCAAGAGCTCTCTTGCACTGGCATTCAGGAACAACATGCAAACTCTGTAAGCGATAGGGGACTGGCGAGAAGAGGCCATGTAACAAATTGTGATCGTGGCTCAAATGGGCATCCCTGTCTACAGATAGAATTCCTGATTTTCTGTCCTTTTCAGTGGACACCTTTACAAACTCTACTGCATGATCTTCATGGATCTAGTGACTGAATAACAATGCTATGTTTCAGCTGCACTTGGCTGGGGCTCCGGGCTCAACACATCGATTTCAAATCCCACTTGGCTGGGGGGGCTGTAGCTTGGAAGGATGATGTGGCGCATCCACTGCGGGTGGGCAGTCGTTGGTTCTTCGCCACCACGGCCATTGGACATATCTTTATAGTAATACCACGAGAATACCCAGAGGATATCCGATATCCATATATATATATATATTTATAATGCATATATTAATATATATATATATTTATACCATAAAATACTTAGAGCCCAAACATGTTACTGTACCACTTTATTTGATCTTCTTACTATGCAACAGTTCTGCCTTTCGGCTGGTTTTAGAGACGACAATGCGTAATTTGTTCACAGTTGGAAGCTCCAGGTACAAGGAACCAGGCCTTCGTTCGGTCTATGGTTTGATCGTCTTTGGAACCACTGGTTACCAGCAGCATTGTGGTTTGCCTGGATCCATTGGGACGAGAAACCCAAGAGGATATCCATACAAAGGTCCATAGTGACGTTTGACCAGGTCAGGGCGGTCCACCAGCCATGACATGATGCCTTTGGGAACGACCTGCCCGGCGCAGCCAGTCACAGTCACCCACCCTGGAGTGGGACAGACCGCGATCCGTCCGGAGCGATCCATGTCGAGCACCGATGGTTCACCAGAGAGACGTGCTCGGATCACGCCAGACACCAGCAGAATCAGTGGAAGAATTAGTAACAAGTGCCACGCTAGTAGTAACAAGTGCCTTACTACTAGTAACAAACAGCTATTAGAAACAAGTGCCTCGCTACTAGGAGCAAGAAGCTACTAGGGGCTCCTGGCATCGCTACTGGTAACAAGAACGCTGTGCATTCCCAGCCACCATGTCATTCATCACATCTTCGACGAACCTGTCAGATATATACTGTAGGTCCCTTTTCTTCATCCACCAAGCCCTGCACTCGACCTCCTCATGGTTGAAACATGCTGGAGACGACCTCCCCAGTGACGATCTCCGAGTCCATGAAAATGAACCTAGACAATCCATGATGTATGGAATATTTCTCTCCATTTGGGATGGTTTTCAGATGTTTGAAGGGTCAAATGGTCAAATGTAAGAAAGTAATTCTTCCAGTCCCATCGGATTCTTGGCAAAATATTCTTTAAAACAATAAGATTTCAGACTTAAGATACTTAAGACACAGACCCCGCACCAAAGGTTTAACAAAGAGACAGAATCAAACCAGCACTGGTTGAGATTGAATCGACAGGTCCATCTTCGTGAACAACTTGCGGGGTGTCGACTTCGACGGCGGCAACGCCCTGGCGTCCAGCGGAGGCTTTGTGATGCCCAACTTTTTCTTCCAGGCCTGGGGGATTCCCTGCCCTACCCTGGAATATGACCTGCGTATAACCAATGATACAAAAAAGAATATATATATATATGATATATTAATATACTATATTATACTATACTAGAGAACTATGTATTGAAGGTTGAGGTTAAAGCAGCTCCAAGCAGGACCATGCTGATGCTTCACCTGCATGACACATTTTCTTGAGAAACATAATGAATGTGGAAAAAAGGCCACGTGTTCTCAGACAAATTTTTCTTGTGCTCGGTGAGACACGCCCAGCCCACTGTAGGGCGCTCGCGACATCTTCAGCAATGTCCGCCAGGATGCAGTGCCTCGGAAGGTTTCAGCGAGACCAGGTCACCAGGTTTTTCGTCATGGCGAGGCTATCGCTAGTAGGTTGGGGGCCATCGCTCTTGGGTTGGAGGCCATTGCAATTAATTAGGGTGGTTGGAGGCCATTGCTATGTCCCCGGGAGCCCTGTTTGACCCACCAAAAAAGGCACCACTAAGGAACTGAATGTATAGTGACGCGGGCATGTCAACATTCCAGGGACTTTTGGGGTTCAGGTTGCGACCCACAGCCATAGGTTCTTAGGATGCAGTAGTAGTATCAGCACCGAGACGGGTGGGATCAATGTTGGAACGTATGCCAACGTGGCTTCGAGAACACTGTATCCATTTGGAATCAATCCATGCGTATCCTGTGTCCACATAACACTGACGAAAAGGAGATGGTACCCAAATGTATGTCGGGCTCCTCCCTGCTGCAACCTGACGATCAGCGATCGCATCACCTGAGGCTCAATCGACTCAGAGGTTCAAGGACTTGAGACATCTTGAGTCTGTGGAAGACTGTTGTAGAGGACTCCAACTACCTTCAGGTTCTTCAGGTATCTTCATGTGAGTCTTCAGGTGTTTGGGGCGGGGTGGGAGCGTTCTGAGGAGGTACTTGGAGGTGTAGGGATTCTTTATTCAGCCGACTTGTGATGGGTGTCGTTTTTAGCCCACAAACTGTGCAAACTGGAGAAACCTGTCAATATGGGTTAACAACAGGATCCTGTTGATGGCTTTGAGACCTCTGTGCGTTTTTGCAGTCTCCTCTTCTAGGAGACTGGAAGATTTGCAGAGATCTACGCTGGCACCTGGCCTGAACCGAACCGACATAGCTGTACTATCTACAAGTTGCAAAGTAATGATCCCCATGTTGTATCCTCCGTCTGCGTGGATTTGCTGGTTGAAGCTTGTTTTGGTGAACGCTTCGCTTTGTCGTGCGAAGTGCCTTAAACATTTGTGATGATTACAATTTGCACAATAATGTCATTCATATGCTGGAATGCTCCAGACCCTGGCAAACGGTAGGGGGCTCACAAGAAAGGATACCCTGATACCCTGCAACAAGGTTCCAAAACATTGGGAACCGATCAGGGACTCACAAATTTGATGATGCAAAAACCGCACATCATAAATTTGACGGGATGTCTAATACTGTGTTTGTTCGTTGTATTATAGTACATACATATTAGACCAGAGTATATTGTTCCACCCACAGACCACTGCCGTCCCGCTCAAAGATGCGGTGGAGTAAGTTTGCAGCTACAGCAAGTAGCATGGATCCGCCAAATTGAACCTTTGGAAGACCAAAGGCTTAAACAAACGAGTGCATGTGGTGTGTAGGATGCTTCACTGCGGGAGGAACAATTGCCAGGTGATTTCGTTTATTCGTGTGAGCTTCAACTACTGAACATAGAAGATGGACCCTTGCAAGGAGTCTTTTTTTCTACAATGTAGGGCCACGTTGTGCGATGTTCCACTTTTTCATGATGAGGAGGTACCACTTGGTACCACTCTGCCATGAAAAAGCAGCCCCGCTGCATCTCCAAAAAGAACCTCCACTGCCACGTCTCCGGGTCCATGTCTCGGTTCTCCAGTTCCGGCAGTTCTGGCACGATGCATCGTCGACGCGACCGGTTTTGAGACCGGTTTGGCAGCTTGTATTTTTTACATGTTTCTTTTCCCAAACTGGGTGAGTTGAAATTAGCGTAAGAATGCTCCTAGTAGCGATGCCAGGAGCCCCTAGTAGCGATGCCCTTGCTCCTAGTACTGTAGCTTCTTGCTCCTAGTTAGGTTCGAACATGAGAAGTGAGAACTGGGTGAATCTCCAAAACTGGGGAATCTGTTGTCACGCCCCGCGTCCGAATCAGCAACTCCAACCAGATGACCGACCAAGGAATTGAAAGGTCTCAGGAGATGGCGATGTTGCGCAGCATCGACGTGGCTGGTTTGCGCTGGCAGAAATGACCATATGGACCATATGCAAGCTGGGTATATTAAATTAGGGAGACCTCCCAAAGACCCCCTGGAAGAAAGAAAATAGAACAACACCCATTGGTTGGGTGTCATACAGACCCAGCCGTTTTCTTGAAACAGTGAGATGACGAGTCTGTCAGTACTTTGTCATGTTCTTCTTTGTGGTGTATGCAGCCTGAATACCTTACTTCACATATATATCTCTTAAATCTAGAAGTTCCGAATGACAGTATGTGTGTATATATACTGTAGTCATTAAGTTAAGGGAGATGTGATCAACTGAACCTCCCAAACTTGTTTTGTTCCACAATCTCTGCCTTGGGGCTCAGCATGCAGCAGTCCTTGTTTTCATGACAAATTTCCCATTCGCCTCCGTTCGCAAGCTATCCCAGCGGACCAATTGCTTCGACACTCCCATTTGAGGCGCTGCGAGAACAGGTGCCTCCAGGTGCCCTGCGAGAGATCCTCTTCAGCTACTGAGCTCGAACTCGATATAAACAGAAGGGAAAATGTGAGTGGAGAAGATGCCATGAATGAAGATCAATGAAGATCATGCTACCAAGAAAAAACAACAATCACATGATCTGCCCACCCTTGGAGGGATTGGACGTGTATATATATATATTCCACTCAAATCCAACAGGGAAAGTTGTATGAACCTTGATTTTCCAGAGAAACTGAGGGTGTCAGTCATGAAGACGCCTCTGGAACATTCTCCAACTGATGGGTTTCCACTCTCAAACCTTATTAAGCCTCAACTAGCTCCAAGCACTAAGCACTACAAAGCCTTACCCAGAGCTACTAAGCCTCAACGAAGCTTCAATAAGGCCTAGTAAGTAGTGCTCAGCCTGCTTTCCAAGAATAGTATAGTACTCATTTTCCCAACTCCTCCTTGCCATCCTCTTGTAGCTACTCTATGAGCACATTCGCCTTAGTGAGGGCTGCTAGTCCTTAGCAGTGTTCAAACATGGAAAGCAGACTGAGAGTTACTGACCTCTACTACCAAACCTCAGCAAGCGCTACCAGCCCCTACTAGATCCCGTACTGCCCCCTGCTAGATCTACTAGCTCTTACTGAGCAACATCTTTTTTTAAGTATTTCAGTATTTCCATTTCCATCCATTTCCTACCCCGCCTTTCCCCCACCCTTCCTGATCCTAATCACTGAATGTGCTTGAGTTTGTGACGCTTTGGCGCTCAACAGCAACCTCAGTCAGATCACGCCAGACAATTTTCACGCCCACCATCAGAACCTGAGGCGTTTTGCGTCGTGCAGCCCTGTCCAGCTCTCAACTGGCCAGCGCCCTCTACGACTTTGCGTTGCGCTTGCAGGCACGGCTAGTCAAAACAACGAGGGCGGTGGAAAAGATCTAAACTGGTGAGAACTCTGGGTGGCGTGGGTGGTTGGTACAGAAATGGTGAGAGATTTGTTTCCAGCATCTATTGGGAGCTCTGGACTGAACTGCTCTACAATTACTGCAATTCCCAAAAGATATACAGTATATTGTTAAATGCAATGTTTGATTTGTACCACTGCGAGCATTGAGTCAACATGTTGTCAACACCTGGCTTCATGTGGCTTCGTCTTGGCCTAACCGTTATTTCAATCGATTTGACTTGTGTTCTTCGAAGGGGGATCCTAGGTGTTTGCTTAGTGCATGTGGGTATGGGACCCATATCGTGAAGGTTGCATTGTCAGATTGAGCTTTGGACTATATCAAACACTGGTGGGTGACATCAATTGTGGAGATTACTTAGATTTCCCTGAAAGTCTAGGAACCAAATCATGAGTGCAAGCGCTTCTTCAAGGAAGCTATCCTGCGTCCTAGGTAGTAGCTTAAGTAGCTACTAGCTACCTCTTCTACTAGCTACCTCGGCCTACGTGCTAAAAAAGGCAAAAACCAAAAAGGTCCTCGAGATGTTCACAAGAGACTGATGACTTTTTCGCGTCCGTTCCTTGCCAGGCCAAAGAGCCCGCACGAAACGAGGCGCCCGAAACGACGTGGGGTAGCGGGAGTGGGTTCATTGGTGAGGTAAAGACACAGATGGCACCGTTGGGGAAGCATGTTTACAGAAGAATGGTTACACGACGTTGGTACTGGTCGGATGTCTAGTATTTGATGGTGGGGTTCCTGACAATTAGTGTCATAGTGCGTCCTTTGAGCAAATCCTTTCCAGAGCAAGACAGATGCCATATCATATGATGAAAGATACATTCAAGATGAGATCAAAACCCAGGTGAGAATCAGGAAGAGCCTGAGCAAGAGCATCCATGCTATGGTGCTTCCAAAAAGTGGGCATACTGGAATCCTGCCCGTGATTCAATTTTCGCCCAGCTTGAAAGTCCCTGCAAACCGGTCCAGTCCGCCGTGCCGTGCCGTCCCCGTGCGCTGCCGTCCCTGCGAAGCGAGGATACGGTGGAGATCCAAAGCGAGCTGTGGGCATTGGACGAAGGTCGATGTGAGGTGAGTGCTCGGCCTTTTGTCCCAACAGACGGGAGGGTCTGGGAATTTCTGTTTGGGTCTAGAGCATCTAAAGCCAATGGCCCTGGAGGGTGCTAGATTGTTCTTGATGTGCGTGTCAGTTTTTTGGGGAGGGGCTGGATGGGAGAAGACTTGGAAGAGTTGGAGAAAAAGAGATGAAGCATGTGTTTGTCATGGTTTGTGTGTCGAGGAGGTTTTGAGTCATGTTCTCCTTTTTTCTTTGTGCGAGTCAGCAGGTCAGGCTCTTCGGCTCTTTTATGGAACCCAAAGACAGGTACTGCATATTGTTTGTTGGCTCCCAAACCAAAGGGGTGCAAGTACCTTCGCAAGTGCACCAGAAGATGACTCGTCGCAGCTGACATGTCAACTCCTTCTTGGACATGTGATACGCGAGTCAGTGAGGAAGCCCCCATACTATCACGCAAGGTTTAGTTTAGTTTAGCTTCCCTAAACATCTAGGAACCCATTCATTAGTGTGAGCTCTCCTGCGTCCATATGTAGTAGCTTGAGCAGCTAGGGAGCGAACTTCTCCCTTGAGGCAGGGGGGAGCGCGCTAAATCGAACAAGGGCCCCATGCGCACGTTCGACCCTCCGACCCGAATGGGTCGCATTTGGGTGGGCTCAGTTTGGGTGCTTCAAATGGCCATCCCCAGGCGTTTGGGAGAGGGTGGACGAAGACCCTGGGTGAATGCTGATGCAGTGCCTTGGCGAAGGGGCACGGCCGGGTGAAACACTTCCCAACGTGTGGTGGAACAACCAAAGACCAAAGATCCATAAAGATCTGACAGCGGTGTATGCAGATTTCTGAGTTTGTTTGTGAACAAGTGTAGCTACAGAAGTGACAGAAACCGGTGCCAACGGTCATTGTTATCTTTACATGCAAAATTCTCGCATCGGTCTTGCCAATGGCCACCCATGGGCGAGTGGGGAACGACTGCCACCGCAGCTAAGACCCCTCCACCCTAGTAGCGATGGCCTCCAACCTAGTAGCGATGGCCTCCAACCTACCAGCGATGGCCTATGATGGCCTCCAACCACAAAAAGATCCTGCCCTGGACTTGCTGGAAGCTCCAAGGAGATCCTCTTGGATGAGCAGGTGCCAGCGCTGCGGACCACCTTAGCCGAGTCGCTCGCACTGAGACACCGACCGGCATCGATTCGCTCAGTGGTTGATCGGTGGGCACGGGTCCAGCCTGCAGCGATCTGCGGTGATGAAGTCCGCCCATGTGATGAGATGAGATCGTTTGGGTTTCGGCTTGGTATGACTGTCCATGCCATGCAATGTGGGTGAGATGAAATCCGCATATTCACACACACACATCGATAAAGGTCCCGTGATGTCCCGTGACTTATACACAGTGAGGCAGTTGCTGCGAACTGCTGACTTAAAATCAAAGGAATGATGTACTGTAGTAGTCAGGCCGAGATCCAGCACTCTCTTACAAATCAGCATGAAAAGCCCATTACTGGTATCATTGAACTCCTTGAAGCACCAGCACAATTTGTCTCTCTAGGTGTGCCAAGCGGCCACTCTTTGCTCAAGTGGCTCCGGAGATTTTGGCACGACCCACCTTTCTGACTTTGGTGCGAATCTTTGATGTTCCTCAGATGGCGAGGGTGTCGAAGGACGTGGCGAACGAACGTGGTGAACGAACTGGGTCGAAGGTGAGTGTAGCAGTTGCTTCAGCGCGGGAGGGAACGTGGGAAGGTGGGCAATGACAACACATTTTGGCACATGAGGTTAATTAATGAGGTAGACACGCAATTAGATGGTTTGTATTGGTTTGTTATGGTTTACGTTCGTGAATGTTCCTCTGAGATTTTGCTTGTTGGTTGGATCAATTACAAACGCTCCTTACTACTTTACACTCCTTGTTGCTCCCTTTGATCCGTTTTGATGCTTGCCAGGGACCTGTCAGCCAGAATTGGTTGAAAAATGTTCACATCGAATGCTTTATGGATGTCACAAGCCTGTTGACCTGTGAAGTCGTTGGAGAGCGCCACATGGACAAACCTCGAAAGTTGCTAGCTGCTAGCTCAAAGAGCCATGCTCAAGCCAAGACAGAAGTGCTTCGTAGGGACAAAGAGCTGATTGAAACGAGGGCTGCCCCCCTTCATGAATTCCAACGACTGGGTGCACCCTTTGGGTGCACAATTTCTAGCAGAAGACCGAGCTGCAAGAGATGTGTGACCGGTGAAAAGATGTCAATTCTGTGGGAGGAGAACTTTGTTTCGCCTCATGCCCAGCTGTGCGAATGAGGTTTTTCAACCTGCAGAGATCCGCAAGACGAGCGAGAACAATGCAGGTGGCAACCTAAGCGCCAAGATGCACCAAACGGGTGTAAAAGAAGAAGGATTCCTGTACTGGATGATCTTGCAAGTTGGGAGTGAGATTTATCCATTGTATCCATGAGTTTCCTGTTTTGTAGAGCCAATCATTGGCAGTCATCACTATAGTACAAGATGACCCACAGCTTGTTTCCTTCCATCATTATCTTCTAGCTGCTAGCTCCACAGACCTTCCATCGTGTGAAGTTAATTCTTCCTGTCAGCTTCGCCCTTGGCACTATCACCCAACCTCGATTCAGACTGTGTTCTCGACATTTCTCGAACACCCAAGCGGCTTCCTCTGGGGGCTGCTCCTGTTGTTTGCTGTCGTAGGCGGCTGTCGCAGGTCCTTACAGCCCAGCAGAGTTCAATGCCATCGATGAGTTCTTGGAGCAGGTCACGCGGACCTCCGTGATGCGTGGCCTGGATGAGGGAGCAAGCGGGCCGAGATCTAACACCCAACCGAACAACAAATTTTGATATATCTTGACCCATAACCTGTAGAACTCATTTGACCACTGTTTTGATAGGATAAGAACGTGTTGTTGTCTCCAAAACCGGGGTTACTCAAGTTCAGGATTTACAGAGAATATACTGTATGCCCCCAGAAGCCAGGCCATTTGCAGTGGGCCTGTCAAAATTGATCCTGCCAATTGCGTGACCAAAGGCCTCAAAACATCGAAAGATCAATCATAGGTGAATCTTTATAGGCTCTCAGGCTCCAATCCACCAGGGTTGGATAAAGGACCATAAAGGGTAAAGATCACCAAAATGCAAGATGGATCAATTTCTCAGGTACCTCTTTGTAATGGTAGGTATATGGACCCTCCATCCACCTCCATTCACCCTAGTCCCATCCTTCTCGGTGTTCGATTCGTTTTCAGATCCGTGTTCGATGAGCTGGAAATCAGGTCGTGCCTTTCGTCACATCACCAAGACTCTACCAATTGTTTTGACCAGACCATGGAAGGACAGCTCTCCACTCGAGTCGAGTCGAGTCATGCGACTGTCTAGTTGTCTAGTAAACGTGGGCGACGTACGAAGGGTCGAGCGGTTCACGGGTGCAGATTCCAAGGAAATCACCCTCCGCAACAGGGATTTTACACTTAGAGTATCTTAGAGTATATTACTATACAGCAAGGACTTTCAGACGGTCTATGAGCGACTGACAAAATTGTTTGTTGGCTTATTGAGTCATGGCATGACCTAACCTATGTTGAAGGCCTTGTTTCTGTGGGAAAAGGTTTCTCTTGCGGCAAGGTGCATTCTGTTGAAAAGATCTTAAACGGATTTTTGCCCGAAGACTTCCCCAAAGATATCGGCTTCCCAAGCAATAATCCAAACGATAAGCAAACGACAACCGAAATAACACGCCAGTCACTGCATAAACCTACTTCCCCACATTGCTAATTGCTCGCTTTTTGTATATGTATGGCCCGCTTCTATATTGTGATCCTTGACAAGAACAGGCTACTTAGTACCACAAGAACCCAAGCACATGAAACAGGTGCTGTGTGATTCCTGTACAAACAGAAACACTGTAAGCCTCCAATTTGAGGTTGTGAGTTGGCGTTCGAAGCCACGATGTATTTTGTACTCAAGTCTAAGTGCAGATATGCTTTCTAAGTATGGCTTGAACAAAAAAAAAATATAATCATATCAAATGGGTGCAAAATTCACTGGGCAACACAAGTAGTTTTGTTTGCTGTTCATATAAGAAACAATGGGCTGTATGAAGCTATTGTTGGCTCACGACTTACCCAGGGTTCGAAGCTTGTCTTTGTCGGACATTCATGGTCTCGAAGGAATTGAATGCATGCATCCTTGGATAGAATGATAGATGGGTAGAAAACAACCAGCCGGACCGATTTGAAGGCCTGGAGGTGTCCAATTCTTCCAAGTTTGACAGGCTATAGTGACTATATGCATCTATATGCGAGTGTGTCCTGCGCCACGCATGGCCGCGCGTGGCAGGAAGTATTGTTTAAGCTTTGGTTTCAAAGGCGCGACGGGAAGCCTTGCGTCTTCGAGCACGTCTTCCTCGGTGCTTTGGCCTGTTTCTTCCTTGTGGCTTCTTGTTCCTAGTAGTAAGGCCAGGAGCCCCTAGTAGCCTCCTTGCTCCTAGTAGCGATGCCCTTTGCTCCTAGTAGCGTCCTTGTTACTAGTGAATTGTAGGTAGTGAGGATGTCTTGAAATAGAGATAGAAATTGGGCATCATATTATTCTTCTGCTATCACCAGGGTTCTCATCAGTTTTTATGCTTTCATATGTACTGTATATCAGTCATTCTTTGCTCTAGCCTTGGTTGTTTCGGGGTGCACAAACTCAAGCAGTAGCTTTATGTTGCTTCACACTTCATGCCAAATGACAACCAACTCGGTGAACATTCCCAGCATGTGACATCAACATGTCTCTGAAGCGGCTTGGGCCTCAGGCCTGTAGCTGCGACACAAAGACTTGCCACAAAACTCGAAACACACAAAAAGGTCTCGCGTTTGGTCTCCAGACTCGTGGTAAGTGTGAAATAAAGAGACTCAGGTAACTTGACCGAAGATATCTCTGGACAGCCCGTGGCCGGTGGCTTTCACTCCTGGCTGAAGTTTTACCTCGAAGAGGCACGGATCGGATGGCTGATGCTTTTTGCCCACAAGGGTGTGATGATTCTGTTCCCATGCCAATATAAATCTCAACCAGGAGTTCCAGTAGGGGTGCCCACTATCCACTCACTTGTGGGGCTAAGAACCATTTCTTTGGAACTGCTGGATTATCAAGCGATTATTTGAGGTGTCAAAGACAGAAGACAGCATTGTCTTGACAACCTTGCAGATGAGGGGGGTGGTTCCTCATACGAATCCTGTTTGCATGAATCGTTGCAAGTTCGCCGTTGCCTGAAGCGAGTGTTGCATGGCCTGATTCTGCCCATGCGGTGTTCCCTTTGCCGCCCCACAAAGTCGGTGTCCAGGTGAGAGGAACAGCAAGATATTTGGGATACATTTACAACAATGCCGAAGCTGGACTCGTGAACAGCCGGCCACCTGGGCTGCACATCAACCAACACTCCTTGGAATCAACATGCTTATGTGGAGTTCACCAGCTTTTTGGTATTCGGATGTATTCGGAAAATGGTCATCCAACGGAGCATACCATCCACATAACCATGATGATGCCAGGGAGTGTAACCCGCTTCCAACCAACTCAGCAGGCATACCTCTGTGAGTGTTCCTGGCACCCCGTTATTGTATGTTATTGTTGTATTCCATCGATGATTAATGCAGTGCTTCAGTTCTTTGTAGATCCTTTAGGTTGAATCAGGTTGAATATTCTTATCCCTTCGTGTACAGATCCGTGGAGGGCCCGTAAGAAAACAGAGGTTGTCACAGGCTGATCCTCCCAAAGACCAAGGAATCACGGAAAAGCTGCCGGGTAGGAAGTCCCTATTTCAACACGGACCCATGACATCCTTGGTTTTAAGGATCGGGTGATCTTGATTTTCTCTATGACTCCATGGATGAATCCCCGTAGTGTTTATTTTTGCAGCTTCCTGGACAGCAAATCCACGTATAGGTGGAGAACATGAATTCCTCAGGGATCCTCAGGGTCCGGGACCTCGCGTGGCTTCTGAAAGCCATGCGAAGCTAAGTTGGAAAGAGCTGAAGCACCGGGGCCGGCGGATCGGATAGTCTGGGTTTTTACAAGTGTGTGATAGTATATCCTGAGTCCACTAACCACTATGTTTGGGACCTGCTTTTTCAACACCAACGTGCGAAACAAACAACAAATAGATAAATAACAATAGATAGATAACACACCGTGACATCATGCAGCCCTCACAACGGCCCAGGTTTGTGTCTGGAAAATTTGTGTGGGACTACGACGGTCACAAACTGGTGAAGGACGCTGGCAAGCATGCCATAGCCACTTTTCACCTGGAGCGAGAGAAAAGCGCCACCCAGCCACAGATAAAGCTACTAAGCCTTCTACTTGGCAAGTATCGATCAAGCCTGGGAACAGACAACTTGCATGGTCTTGCACTCTTCAGACTTCTAATTCTAATGAACAATGACAAACAGGCACACACACACACACATGCCGCCAATTGCAGCCCACTCCGTCTCTCCGTTCAGGACCAAGGCGGCTTCTTCATCGGCACTTCGCCGGAGTGGCAGCTGGCCATCGGCACGGTGGCCTACTTCGAGACCTCCACACCGGGCATGGCGCGGCAGAATGGGTGGATTCCTTGGACCGGAGCCTACGATGAAGGCTACACCAAGGAGCACCGCTGGTCGGTCGCGACGAGTTCCGGTGTGGGTGGTCGAGCTTAGAACCGCGCGAGGCCCCAAGGGCAAGGTCCCGGTAAATGTGGTGAGGTGGTGGGATTTGCCGCGAGTTGGCGCGGCGGCAGCGGTTCGGTAGGCTAAGTATCTTTGTTCTGGTTTGTGCTTGGGGAAGATGAGGAAGAAGGGAACAAAGCATTCGCACAAATGAAGAACATTGAAGAAACATATATATATATATACTTATACTGTATTATACTGTTCTATAATTACAGTAATATAAGGAGCAGTCTTTTGGAATGAAGAGGTTGAACTCGTCAAACGAAACGCAGGGTGCTCACTTTCCACCGAGAGACCTTCAGTCTTTGTCCTCCGGCGGATTGGGCGTGTGAAAAGGGCTGAAGGATTGACGTTCTGAGTAGGTCACCGGGTATATGTCCCGGCACAACACATTTTGGTGTAATTACTAACATTTAGCGTCAGCTTCCGTGTTTTGTCATTCCAAGTCTACTTGCCATACTGGTTGCTAAGCAAAAGACTTCGATGGAATCCCACTAGTAGCTTCTTGTTACTAGTAGCTATTTGCTCCTAGTAGTAATGCCCTTTGTTATTAGTAGCGATGCCCTTGCTCCTAGTTAAGAATTGATGTGGTTCCCTGTTTGGAGATGTTGGGCCGGTCTGAGCCTCTTTAGTGCATTGCAGGAAACCACGCTGGATGGGGAACGCTATCGACATGTGCTATGTCGCACTGGCCACTCCAACAGCTTGCAAGATGTCTTGGTTGAAGACAGTCGCTTGAATGCCACAGTAGCTGAGTCGCCCGATTGAAGGTCAGTTTTAGATGTGTTGACAAGCACCTTGCAGGAAGAGTTTTTTCTGAAGGACTTTGTTTGCTGCTTGAATGGAGTCAAATGGAAGGTTTAATATATATATATATATAGTCTGACTGTATATAGTACTTTCTCATGCATGTATTGTGTATGGAAGACCCTGCAGAAATCCGCAGGATTGCAGATCATACCCGTGGGACGTCGCCTCATGTGGCGAAGATCCTTCTGGATCCACCGGTGATGTATACAGACCCAAGTTGTATAGGTTAGACTCCGGGGCATACAACTTGCTTCCGATATTTTTTCCGCTTTATTCCACTCTCAGTAGTCCTGCGATCAGGGGTTGTTTGATTCCACTGCGATTCCTGTTCTTGGCTCATGTCAATAGAAGGGCTCTCCAGCTTGATCTTCAATTCCACATGAATGGCTGCTCCTCAAGTTTGTTGTTTCTTCATCACGTGCATCGTCCCAGCTGTTCTCCCACATCTGAACAAAGGGAAAGGCATGAACATAATATGTACCGATACGTACTGCATCTTACTGCAAAAAACATGGGGACTGCAAGTCCATCCCACCTCCGTCCGTTAGTTGCGAATGTCCTCTCGTGCCAAAAGGGATCCTTGGCACCCTGCAGCGGATGCGTGGACCACCTACTGTATTTGCACCAAAGCGCGCCAACCCGGTCGCAGAACAAACCACTGCGAGCCGAAAAGAGGCGGACACTTGGTGACGTCCTATGCCATCTATTTGGGCCCCGAAGTGCCAAAGGACACCTCCGGCCGGCCGGGCCGCGAGCAGATTTGCACCAGCGACCTGGCCTGGATGTCTCGACCCGGTTTGGCGGTTTTTTGGTGTGAGAGTGAGACTACTTATTTTCCCAAACTGGGTGAATTCCCTTCTGGGGAACATGTTTCTATTTTTTATATTTCCTTATTCCTTCAGCAAATCCAAGTTGACATTCGAAAGGGGCTGAAGCTGGCGAAACCGGAGGGGTTTCGTTCCTTCCGCAGCAAGCCGAATGGAAACGGAGGGGTTTTGGAACGTCTGGAGTCTGCCGGGGCCACGCCCTACGCCGGGGCCAGCGAAAGAGCCAATTGGTTCAGAATGGAGAAGTGGGCCGACCCTGACCATCCCTAGGAGGTCCCTCTAGCCAAAGATTTTGTCCACCACGCATTTGGAGGCAGATGCCAAAGCGGACCCCCGGATCGGTATCTGGGTACAGGGTACAGCAGAACTCCTTAGATGAACTGTTCCGCCAGACAACAAAGTTGGATATTCGCGGCAACGTGCAACTTTTGGCTGCTTCGTTTCAACTCGGTTCAGGTGCTGAGTTGGCTGAGCTTTTGCCTCGGTGGTTGGTCGAGGATGGCATTGCTTTGCACGAAGACTCGGATCTTAGCAAGGACGGCAAATGCAGGGTGACTGACATAGGTTCACAATTGCTTGACAAGGACTAGGACGAGGCTACTAAAATGTGTGATTTGTGCGTGGTGTATGGTGGTACTGTGGCCCATACTGTTTCTGCGAGATCGGTGTGGATTAAGCTCTCTCCTTGAGATCTATCTATCGATCTAATGTTTATATTGCACATATATATATATATAAACTATAGAATATTATGTAATATTATATATTATCATGTGTGTTTGCCATTTCTCCACTGGTACAAGCGCCTCACCTTCACAGTTTCATCCAGGGTGCTTTGCGCACTGAGGGCCTTTGCCAGGTATAACAATCCCTGCTAGGTACCTTCACCTGGGAAAAGGATTTCTCGGACCGTGACATACTGGTGACTGGTGTTTTGTAGTTTATGGATCAACTCCCTTCATCCGAGGTATCTTCATAAAGGTTACAAAGCCTGACACAGCATTCTACCTTCCTTGCACATTAAAGGCATTGTCATTAGGACACTTCCCCCACCCAGCCGAGAACACTTACAAGGTATGGCTAGTTTGATATGATTTCTGTAACGAGATGTCTCATAAGTCCAGCATGAGACCCTTGATCATGGTTGGATCCTTTCGTTGTATCCAAATACATCCAAGCACTCATCCCACCACCATTCGCGTTTTTCCATTTTTTCTCGCCTCATTTGGTTTGTTTTGTGTGTGTGTTCTCGCGAAGCCCCCTCCTCAGGGCTCCACATGCCTCCAGGAGTGCGTGCGCTTTTGCGTGGCCCGTGGCTGCCGATCTGTTGCCGAGGCCTTGGTGGCCTTGCGAGAGGTGCCTTTCTCCGCGGACAGGCGGTACACGTCGGACACAGAACCGGGTCTTAGGAAGATCTTGGGCCGAGCACAGCGAGGCTCGGCCTCTACTGGTGTCTAATAATCGTCCCTTAGAGGTTGAGGGTGTTCACCAACCACCCCTTGTGGGCCCTGGTATACAACTATATATATATATATTATCTATTATATATATAAAATACTATATTATATATATATTATATGCTAGCCCCCAAAACAAAAAAACACCTTAGACCCATGTTATTCATCTAGGATTGTCCCATTGTGTGGCCTGTTGCATAATTACATACATGATACTATGATACATGCATGGCTTGTATATTGTAGTTTGCAAATGTCATTGTCAATTATTCAGCAGATTGCGCTTGCTTGTGGGAGACAGGATGCTATGACAGGTGATGAGTGCAGATGTGGCAGATGATGTATTTGTGAGGGGTAATCCTTTTAGCTACAATCTATGTCAAACCGATACGATGAACTTTGTGCCATCTCCCAAGAGCAGACAACTCCAGTGGCGAGCCAAAGGTCTTGTCTCTGTAGATGGGGTGGTGCTCCAAAAGCGCCTCAAACTTTTCGAGCAAATAGTTGTGACAATCAGAGCAGCTGCCATATTCGTCTACATCCTTGATGAGGCGAACGATCTAGCGGCAGTGAAAAGTGCTTTCTTTCTCCTACTCTCTTTAAGGACCTTGGTGATGAGGATCTCGGATGAAGCCGAAGCCATGCCTTGTCTCTAACATTTTTCATTATTTTTCCCCCCTTGCTTTTCCTCCTCCTTGTCCCCAACATTTGTCCCCAACACTGATCACCATGTTTGTCCCCATGCTTGTCCCCCAAGCCCGTGCTTCTTTTGAGAAGGGTCCAATCCAGGCGCCCGCCCGTCCCCTTCCCCACGGACCATCCACGGACCGTCCACGGGCTCAGGCCACGGGTTCCAGAGGTATGGTGGTGAGGGGCTGTAATGGTTGCAATTGTTATGGTGCTGTTCTCCTCGTATATTGGTCTTCGCTGTGGTTCTAGCTTTTCTTTTGTCCGTGCTCTTATATAGCAAAGGCTCAGCGGATGATGGGAGAGGTTGTCCTTATGCGTTGCGGCGGTGGGAAGTTCCATGGGCCTGCCATGGCTGCGACTGTTATCGTTGTCTTCTCCTTGTATGTTTTTCGTGGCTTGTGTCCGTGTTTTTAAACAACCGCAGGACCGCAGGTGATGGTAGGTTTGTCATTGCTCGTTGTTATGATGGTGGGAAGTTGCGCGAGATTGCAATGGCCATGATTGGAAATGTTGTCTTCTCCTTGGGCTGTGGTTCTAACTTCTAACATTTCTTTTCGTTGATGCTTTTGTGTTCGCGGCATATGTTCTGGCATGTATGGCGACATCAATGCTGATATGTGGTTGTGTTTGCGCAACAACTTTGAATAATTTTGGCAAACCTCCCATCATAGCTGGCATGTGTTCTTACGCGAGCTTCCCAATCAAGCCTGCTAACTGTTGCTTTGTTCGGGTCCGTCGATAAAGGAATCTAGAGACCATCTTCTGTTCATCCAGACAGCTTCTATGATTTTATGTTTTGGACCTCATCTTCGGTTAAACGGACTCACATCCTCTGTTGTAGAATGGACGGTCATTCCAAGGTTATTCTTTCACGAAGGACTTCTCACCCACAGTGCTCATCCGATTGGACCATAGCCGAGATTGGACCATACCCCTTCTTTTCAAGACTTTTACCCTACCTTGTCCCAAGGATTGTCTTCTATCTCCAAAGCTACCCCGGATGTTTATATACTTAAACCAATAATAGACAATATGTACAGCCTAAATTTCTAGCGCGGCCTCTGGGAGGAAATGTTTGTTTTTTTCTTTTTTTTCGCACTGCCAAGGTTTTCTGTTAGCACTAGCACCATTATGGTTCCAACTGCACCACCATTCCTCCTCAGCTGTCGACTCATTGGTGATTCGCTTAAAAGCCCATAGGCTTAAAGGAAAGATCTCGCAACTTTCCTTTGCCCTGGCCCTTAAAGAAAGACTCCCCTTCATGTTTTGTTGCAATTGGCTCCTTTCTTGTTTGATCTTTGAGCGTCAACGACTCGATCTTCAGCCGCGCAATTTGCACTTTCTCGGCTGCGGTGGTCATAGTCATAGCTTTTTTCACTGTTACTGATATTCTTAGTGGAGTTGATGCAAAGACATTTGTTTTTTCCTCGCTTGTTGCAGCCAGCGCATTGCTTGCGAACCATCGTGCAAAAAAAGAGAAAACTAAAAACTATTGATTTGGATACAAACCTGCGGTAGCAATCGCAAGTTGAACTTAGACCCAAAAAAGAAAAAAAAACAAAACTCTGAGGATAATCTTTTGTTCAGCCCCAAAAATGTGTTTTGGGTGTTCATTGTGTTTGTAAACTTGTTTGTTGGTCTTTATGCATGCATCAACAAAAACAACAACCACAATGTTTGTTGTTTTTGAGACGGTCTATGCACCCTTGAATCACGAAAAATAAGCAAACTTGTGTGTTCTTTGGACAATAAGAAAGCAACAACCAAAAACAACTGGTGTGCTGTGGGGGTTCTTGGAGTTAGTGATTGCATAAACCATCTCAAACACAAACGCATTGTGGCTTTTGCTTTTTGATGCATAAATCGAAACCAACAACCAAACAAACAAAGAACACCAAAAACATTGTTCAGGCTGAAACCAAAGATGTTTCTGAGAGTTTTGTTTTTTGTTTTGGGCTTTGGTTTTGGCAGTCTGCAAGAAGAAAACATTAGACAAGAGATAGAGCAAATACTGATTGCGCATACAGTTCTTTTAATTATACTACTGACTAGTAACTTAGGACTTGTCGGACATACACGCCAATTCCAAAAGCCTATGTCATCAGGATTGATCCAACATTGGCATTTCCTCTTAAGGCCTATGTCATCAGGCCACAACCATGATATTCATAGAAATATGTATGAGGTATTCAAGGAAGCAACACATAGTCGCACCCTATGTCACCACTGTGTCACCAGGGTGCCAGGCAGTGGTATCTAGCATTATCTAGCTGTTTTACATTTTTTGTCGAGGAGGTGTCCACAGGTCCTATGACACCAGGTTTCCCAACCCAGACTTTTTTTTGCTCGATATGTCAGGGCACATGACTTAGCCCTGGGGGTAGCCAGATTGGTATGTCACTTGCATCACGTTGGCCTAAGTCATTAGACAGTAGTATACATAATAATGATCGACCTTCATCACATGAGGTTGCGAGGGGGGTGGGGCCGGGTGATAAGGTATCCTTAAAGCAATCTAAAACAGATGTATCAAATGTCATGTCGAAAGTATATATCAACATCAGCCAAAAGCACTGTAAACACACATATGTTTGATTAGAGGGTGATGTTTTTGTGTTTTGTGGGTGTAATGACCTTCTGTAAAGTTTATCACCAGATTCTCAAAAGTATATGAACGGGAATGACCGAGAATTAAAGTATTAGGGAGAGGTTGGTGGAGTTGAGATGAAAGAGAAATTGGTATTGGGGGGAAGTTCTTGGAATTGAGATTGACGGGAAATTAATATTTTGGAGAGGTTCCTGGAATTAAGATGAAAGGAACAAATTAGTGTTGTGGAGAGGTTTCTAGAATTAACATGAGAGTTACATGAATATTGTTGGATTTCAGAAGGAATCTAAGTAAGGCAGGAATACTTATATAAGCAAGAAATGATAAGCACCAACACAAAATAGAGCTAAGCTATTTTTCAACCAGTGTTTTTTTGTTTTAGTTAGGGTGCACTTTATTTAGGGTATGGTGGCCTCAAGCGGGGTAGCAATGAAGGAGTCATCAAGTCCACCAGAAATCTGCTATTGAATCGGCAAAACACAGCACAACACACAATAAAGATAAGCTATTTCCTGCACATGCCAACGGCAACCAATCACACATGAATAGGAAAAGGATCAACTCCCCACGCGACATCAATGAATAAACCAACAAATTAGACACACAGAACAGTAAAATCATCCAAATAAAGAAATAACAAACAAAAGCCAATAAAACAAAAATATAAAAACAGGTGGGGGGATGACGTTTAGCTTTATTAGATTGGTTTAGTTTTGGGAGTTGTTTAGCTTTATTATTTAGGGGCAGTTTATGTTTGTAATCAAAAGTGAACATTACCATATATATAGACTTTCGCAAGTGTTTTGTGATTGGTGAACGATTGGAAACCATCTGGGGACCGTCCCCTATCCGCGGAGATCTCGCCAAGATTTTGGCGTCGCGGAAGGCATTGATCTTTGATTTGGAAGATGCGGTTGGGGCGGCGAAGGAGGGCTATCCCAGAATTCTCGCGCTGGTGGAAGACACCTTGGAGGTGAGGTTTGGTACCATGATTGGAGGGAAAGGGCGTGCAAAAACAGGCTTTGACAAGGTTCTCTAGACGTTTTTGAAGAATTAGGCCAAAAGAGAAAGAGAGAGAGAGAGATGTGGTGGATGCATTTCTAAGATCAACAAAAGCTCCCAGCATGGAATGACACTAAGGATCTCACCAGCGGTGATCCGTGATTTGAGATCTTGACGTATGGAGGATCTGGTATGGAGCACCCGTGTTCGTAGCTTGGTGATCGCATCCTTTGATAATCTGATTCAAACTCATGGCAAACTCATTTAATTTACGTTATGTTTTTATCCATCCTTCTGATTCACCCACCCTTTGCCAATCTTTGCAATACAAAAGCATACAAAAGCCACCTTCATCTCAGTTTTGAGAACAAGAGAGAACAACAAACCTCAACATACCTCAACATGGTTTTGCTTCGGGTGATTTTGAACTTCACTACGGGGTGAATCCTCTTCTGGGAAATACGAATCCTGGTTTCGTGGACAGCAAATCCAAGTCAACCAACACCTCCCACTCTCCCCGCTGTCGCCGCTCCTCCCTCTCCGCGCCGTGCTCCGTCCCGAAACCTCCGCTCCGCCGGGACGGGGTCGACGGTGCAGGTGGTGCCGGTGCTGCTACGGCACAGCGATCATCTCAGCGCCCATTTGCCCAAGCTCCTAGAGAAGCTTCGCTCCCAGGGCCGCCGTGGCGCCTCGGAGACGGTTCTGAGACGAAGGGTCAGTGTGGCCCTAAAAAGTTCCAAAGGAGCGAGAATGTTTAACATATGTTACATTAAAACATATTAAAACCCTTCCCGTTGAATAGGTGTTTAAAATCAAATGGGGTTGTTTGATTAATCAACAGTGTATGGCCAGTATACATTAAAAGCGGCAGGCCGCTCTTTTAGGGTAAATTGTTGGAGGTTGATGGGTGCGATTGGGAGGGCAGGTCCCGGGACAATGGTTTCTTGGAATGATTTTGACATGGCTTGGCATTGAGGTGTGGGTGATTTGACCGAAATGACTCCGGTGGCAGATTTTGTTGATTCTGTTGGCATACACATCAGATTCTAGCCGAGTGATACAGGAAAACATGGGAAGCTGACTGCCTGTTCGCGAGGATTGATGAGGGGTCAATCGGAAGGGATGCCTCATGTTGACAGTGAGATGATGCTTCGTAGACTGAGAGTTTTGCGCGATTCTGAGAAGGTACTCTGGAATGGGAACACCTTGCACCAAGTAATAACATAACAATATATATATATATTATATATATACATATTATATGATCCATTGTAATACAATTTAATTGATGTTTCTTGCTGAATCTTCACATTGCCTTTGGGTGTTTGTTGTCAACAAGCGGGTTTTGAAGCAAAGAGCAATGAAGGTGTGCCGCTGCTATCAATGCAGAGGCCGTAGAGGTGCTTACAGTCGTGGCATGACACATGTTGGCCGCGTTTTGATCCCACTGCTTCACTTTGACAGATCCCCAGACCATCCATGCATGGAACAGTTGCTTACATTAGGGTCATGTTCATGTGGTAAATATGTAACCCTTTCATTGATAGTTGCTCTGGGATCCCACCAGCAACCACACTAGTAAAAGGGAACATAGACGGCTCATAGGCTGAGACTCAATATGACAACACTGAGCTTACTGCACCAGGGATTTCGTTCCATGGTCCAAAAAGGTTCTCTTGTGCCTCTCCTGTCCCTGGAACCTTCAAAACCATTTACAGTATATCAATAGTATGTAAATCAATCCTTTTTTTTTGAATTGTGAGAAAAAATAGCTTCCAGCAGGTCTAATGCGTGTGGAATTCCGGAGACCTTCCACATTGGCTCAGACCTGCAGACATTTGCAGTCCTGCAGTCCCTCCAAGGCCCTCGACTTCATCAACCCATCCGGTTGCTGCTCACGGGCCGTGCGAATGGCGCGCCAATCGCAGAGCTCGTTTCGCTCTTGGAGCTCGCCCAATGGCAAGGTGGGGCGAGGTCTCGGTGCTCTCGTGGGTTGGGCCTTAGCGAAAAGATCCTAGTAGCCTCCTTTACTACTAGCTTCTTGTTACTACTAGTAAGGCACTTGTTACTGGTAGCGATGCACTTGTTCCTAGTAGCTTATTTTAAGAAGTTTAATTTGATTCTAATTACTTATTGTTTCTACTAGCTTCTTGTTCCTAGTAAGGCCCTTGCTCCTAGTAGCGATGCCCTTTGTTCCTAGTAGCGTTCTTGTTCCTACCCCCCCCCTCGTGGATGATGTTCACTAATTCGCATGCTTGAGGCTTGAGGCCCCTAGACCATGAACCGGCGAAAGGCGGCTTTGAAGGAGGTTGCATAGCCAAAACACGCACAACACAATTGAATACAATTGAGGTTTGCTGGTGTCATGCCTGGAGTCTGTGGGAAGAGTTTGGCCCTTTTCGTGTGGAAGGGCATGGAGATGCCTAGATCTTTACAAGCGCAAAAAAGGGTCTGAGTAATAAAGAGAGAGGGTACAGCCCAGTAGGATGGCACGATTGAATTTGATTGACTTTGCATTTCCTTGGCCAGCCTTTGGATGACTGAAAAGTCTAACCGTGACATATGTTGAGATGCTCGTACTGGCATTTGTGCCTTGGAACATGGAAAAAGTTTCTGCAACGACGGACCCCATAGAGGCATGTGATGTGCCACTAGGTCTGAATGCCAGTTTTCTGTCCAAGTCTCGGTGTGCATGTCAACTTCGGCGTGTGTCTGACGGTATTTCACCGTCGCCGCTTCTCTTTGCGGGAGGATAGGATAGGTATCACATGGTATCTCCAGTCTCAATTTTGGTCCGTCCCCTTTTCCAGTCGGCACTTGGCACCAAAAGCTTCAGACAAGGATGAACTCCATGCACTAGAATGTTGAACTGGGGCTTCCAGCCAACTCCGAAAGGAAGCTGCAACGACCGGCAGCATCAGATTTTTGAACCAAGGCAGAAGAACACCACCGACAGTATGCAGACATGCATGCAGACATGCGTGCAGACATGCATGCGGACATGCATGCAGACATGCAGCGCATTTGATGTTCTGTAAGTGCAGGTGGTGATGAAGCAGGTGTTCGGCTGACCGACCGGATTGCCCTGATTCGTCAGATATTTTCCAGCCCACCTTTTTCGCATGAACCCAGCTCTGCAGAAAAATCTGCAGTGGCACCAATAGCATTTGTAAACTAGGTGCTCCTGCATCATGGACAAGGTGGCAACCAGCGTCCTCTTTCATGTGAGCCAATCTGCAAAGAACGATCGTTCTTCAACAATGTTGAAGCTGAAGGTGTTCTGCAGTCCTATGTTTGACGCCTACAGCAAGAGGGCTCTCCCTCCTTGCTCATCTCACAATCCAAGGCAGCAATTGCTGCACGTACCATTTCACCATTTCAGGTTCTTTGCCAATCCGAGGCAGCCACACCATAAATTTCCCTAGTTGTTGAAACCAACTATGTAGAGGCTTTCATCAATGACCATGGTCTCGAAATGTCTAGAGTCTAGAATAACAATGTTCCTTTACTCCGACAGATGGTTTACAGTGCAGCGGTTGCAGATAGTACATACCCACAGACCGTCATGTTGAGATGTGGATCCCATCCACATCTCATTCTCAAAACCGGTTGGGCGCCCACCTTGCGCCTTTGTTCCACTAAGTTTTCGTATGTTTTCGTAACTTTGTCCAACAGACAGAAGCCCTGGCCTTCCAAGACTTTTTAAAACATGGTTGAGCTGAGTTGAGCTAGCTTAGGTTTCGTAGTTGAGTTGAGCTAGCTTAGGTTTCGTAGTGAAACATCGGTAGTAAAATGGTTGTTGGAATCCCAGCGACATGTATACACCTGCCGGGTTTGGAACTGAGCCTTTCACGAACCATCGTGGCTGCGAATCTCGCTGAGCACAGTCTTCCAGTGTGGAGACAGCGTCTTTTTTGTTAGAGATGCCCATGTTTGATTTGTGACCGTTGGGCTTTATTTGCCTCAGACCATTCCCAGCGTTAGAAGTCAAGAAGTTGGCGAACAGAAATCCAGTTGGACGCCTCTCTCTGCCGGTTTTCCTGCGAGACTTTGTCCCAGCCCATGATGGCGCCGACGTTTTGATGGCCAGTCTGGCTACTTGGGTGTCACGTGTGCAAAAGTTCCGGATTTTGTGGAGTGTGGAGTTTGGGCTCCGCCGTGCTTCGGGACAGTGCAGGTGGGGAAAGAGAAGTTGAACGGTCAGTTTGATGAAAGTCTCCTTTGCCACTACTTTTAATTCTATTTACTAATTCTTGTTGCTACTAGCTTCTTGTTACTACTAGTAAGGCCCTTGCTCCTAGTAGCGATGCCCTTTGCTCCTAGTAGCGTCCTTGTGATGTTTGCACGAAAAGTCAGGAAGAAAGTTGGCAGACTGGCTAGTGTGAAACACTGCATACTGGTACCAGTTAAGGAATGGTAAGGATATTAAGTTTTGGCGCTTATCCAATCTACAAAGCTACTTGGTTCCGAACCACTTTGATCCACTTTGTATCCCAGATCCTACTGATTGCTTCCAAGGTTTGTGGGTGGGAACAAGCAATAGCTTTGGTTCATTCAATGAAGAGGTCCGAGTATGCCTTATAATATATAATATATATAGGTGTGAATCTCGTGTGATCAGATGCGGTGCATGGTGAAGGTTCAATTCTCACGATTCTTCCTTCCATATGTTTTCACATCAAATCCTTTGTTCTTCGCAGCCTCCCAGAATCTCACGACCCAAGAAAACAGATAAGAAGACTGAAACGAAACTGAGGTCAGTGTATACACTCAAGACTGACAAAGACTGATAAGATTTGGATCGATTTGGCATACGATTTGGGGGCCATCCACCCTGAATGGGATTGGATGGGACGCTCCAGACCATACCCCCTCAATGCACAGCTGCCCCGAATGGGGAAGTGATAGAAACAAAACCACAAATGAAAACTCCAGTTGCATTTCTGTATGTCAGACTGTTTTTTTCTCTCATTTGAGGCTTCTCCAATGCCACGGCTTCGGTTCTGAAAAGGGTCTGCGCCCGCGCTAGGCATCGAAGAAGCTCGGCGGATGCAGGGTGAAGCTGAGCGTGAGATGAAGCTCGCGCAACGAGACCGCGGGGAGTGGGCGGCGTGGGCAGAGAGCGAGGTTTGGACTCAGAACCAATGAGCCAGACACGTGGAGGAAGCAGGTTGAATGGGCAGTGGAGATGTAAGGCATGTATGGATGTGTGAATCCAAGTTACCCAAGACCCCGCCTTCCTCCTGATCCCTGTTCATTCGCTTAACCAATGTTTGCTGTGAAGTGATTGTATCGTGTGGAAAAGGTGTTGTGGATGACACCAGCTTCGACGTGCCATGAGTGTTGTGTAAAACGTCACACACCCGGCTACTGTAGCGGTGCAGCGTTTCTTTTTTTTCAAAGTTTGTATATAATGTTAAACGAACAAGGGGGTGGCCCATCCTAGTTGTGGGTGAAGAGATTCGCAATGGCAAAACGATGCAATCTAGTGTGAATAAGATTCCAACATATCAGGGAATCCACAAGCATCACGCCTCTTGGGAAGAATGTAAGGGGTTTTTGGAGGCCATCGCTATTAGGTTGGAGGCCAACGCTAGTAGAAACCAAAAAGAAGAAAAGATATAATGAATAATGTAAGGGGTGTTTGTCTTCGTGGGTGGTTGCACTTCGACTTCGCGTGGGCCTTCGGAGCCCTCGCAAGTTCGACTCATCCAGTGCTGCTTTTTCTACTGCTTTTTCTACATCCTACCCAGGAAATGTAGATCACCTGTAAAACCCCATGTTCCAACAGTTAGAAACATGTGAGCTTCTATTTTCCAGCTCAAGGAGAATGATATGATTGTTATTGATGAATTTTTGCAGGTTCACAGCCTGCGTTCACCCTGGTTTCACGTTCCTCGCTTCCGAAGCGAGATCGTCCTGACATCGTTCATTCAACTCGTCCGTCCTGTGCTCGGAAGAACCCCTCGGCAGGACGCCCGGGAAGCTCGACAAGACAAAGAGAAGGCCTTGCGCCAGCGCGATGCTGCCGAGGACGCCCGGCCTTTGGAGTGGGACAGGGAGACTGCCGAAGAGTGATGGCACTGAAGGCAGGATCCAAAGGAACATCAAAGGACCAAATTTGGCATGTAATAGCATGTGTATATTAATATGTATATGTATATATAGTATTATATATTACATGATGTTGGCTTTAGGAGGCTTTAGGTCATAAGGTCCTTTTTGGGTCACCTAATCAGACTGTTGAGTTTTGCGTGGTGGTGGAGATCTGTGATGCTAAGCAGGCAAACAAATCAAGAAGAACATGTAACATGTGTTTCGAATTCCTCATGTTGCTTAGGGTGAATTAATACGTTCCCCTATGGAGAATCCTCTTTGGTCACATTGTTAACTTAATTATTGGTGGAGTGGAGGGTCTCCAGACCATGGAGGAATCTCCACAACGTCTCGAATTTGTTTTCGGGGGCTGTGACTTTGGGGGCTTCAGCTAGTGGAGGATGGGATGCTTCGACTTGGGGGGGCCCGAGGTTTGCGGAGACGGTGGATCGCTTATTTGTTCACACCGGATCACCTTCGCCTCATTTCTCCTTTCTGCGTATTTCTTCGTACATTTTTGGAGCACTGGATAAAACATCAGTCAAAGTTTGACTGTTAACACTCCTGTGGACAGTGTTGGCACTTCTCGACCATCCGCAAGCTCCACTTGAGGAATCTCGTCGTGTGGCGGAGGTGCGAGAAATGATTGAGTCCATGGCTTGAACATCTTGCAAAGGACAGCGAAGTGATTTTGTTGGACTCCATACACTCAGCAATAGCAAAGGAGAGAGAGAGAGAGAGAGAGACAGAGCCTAAGCACCTCGCTCAGAGCACTTTCAGCCAGGGCGAGCGCGACGACGCCTTCCGCGCCAAAGATGCAGCGGAGGCGGCCGAGTCATATGCGTGAAGCCCAAGAAGAGTTTAGATGTGTTGAGCAGTGTCGCTTGTTGAGGGTAATTACCATCAGACATAGTCACAATCATTCTGAAAAGCTGGATTTATTTGTATCTTTATATAACCTTTGTTTGAGGCAATCTCTCAGTGGCAATACGCCAACAGTCCCACTTGCCTTTATATATAATACTGTATATTATACGATTATATAATACACATGGTTTGGACCTCAAAGAGTAAATTATTAAATGATCAAAACACTGGGATATTTGTAAGATATTGCAACATACAGGTGTCTTTGAGCAAGCGGGGTCTGTAGTCCCTTGTGCTAGGGTCGCTTGTTAGAACTGGCCACTTCCTAAAAGGTGTAGTTTGCCGCAGATTAAACCCTTAGTTCTGTTTCTGCCATAGCCACATAGCCTCGCCCTTAGTTACGCAACTGTAGATATAGTCTGCAAAAGACCGGACCAGCGGGTGAAATTGCGAAAAGGAACAGACTGAAGCACCGTCGTCCGAGGCAAAGGAGCAGGCAGAGGTCTTTCAGCAGGCGGAACCGGAATGATGAATCGCTCGATCTGAATCTCGTAACGTTGGTCAGTGTCTCGTAGACAGGGCAAGTCGTTCCTAGGAGATAACCCCACATGAAAATGTGGAAACAATATTTGCAAAATAAGCTGAATGTTTATTGAGGGTTTGTCCCTTTGATTTCTCGGATGAACTCGGCTCCTAAGATTGAAAGGTTGGTCTTCCCTTCCGCTCTGAACATACGCAAACGCACGCGAGACTCATACATGCACGGTGTTGTTCGCGGTCTTCAGTAAAAAATTCCTGGACGCCCCCGCGGTCTTTATTTTGTTGGCATTCGTTTTTGCTTACTGTCCTGGACGCACTGACCAACACGCAGGCTCGCTTGAAGGCAGAGATGCGACAAAGAAAAGCAGAAGAACAGGTGCCGTGCTCCTGACGTTTTGATGGACCAAGATGGAGCAACACGAGAGGATTTGACATCGTTTTGAGCATGTGTGTTTGTGTGTTTTGTGTCTTTTCCACTCAAGGCTTTCTCACATTGTCTTGATCTTTAATATTGGAAGGCGCGAGCAAAGCACAAGAAGATTCAAAGCCTTCAGCGCATGTTGGCGGAGCTAGGCAGGGCTATGCAATATCTCGTTGGGCCTAGTAGGCAGAAGAAGGTACTGTACACAAAAAGAAAAAACATATACAGTATATATATACACACTATATATACTATATATATATATATATGTGAAATTTGTGTTATTTTCTTTTATATAAGAGAGGGGCAACACT